GGCCCCGTGTTCCAGTTTGGCAAGGCTCCAACCCCACTGACCCCGGCACCCAGCACCTTCGGGCAGCTGCCATCCAGTGCCACAGCTCTCCCGGCCAGCAGCAGTGGCTCCACTGGCTTCAGCGGCTTCGGCAGCGGACTCACCACCTCAGCCACAGCCACAGCCACCACTAGCCAGCCCAGCCTCACCTTCAGCACCACCACCCCCACCTTCAACATTCCCTTTGGTTCTGGCACCAAGGCGGCACTCCCACCATACCCAGGCGCTAGTACCCAGCCGGCATTTGGGGCCACTGAGGGGCAGCCTCCAGGGACCACCAAGCCCGCCCTTGCCCCTAGCTTCGGCAGCGCCTTCACCTTTGGGACCTCTGCGGCCCCAGCGGCGGTGCCAGCACCCACCCCTGCACCGGCCCCTGCAGCCTTTGGGACTTCTGTGCTCCCAGCTTTTGGTGCTCTGAAAGGCACAGCGTCCGCCTTTGGCGCCCCAGCCAGCACACAGCCCGCCTTCGGCAGCACCACCACCGTTTTCTCCTTTGGGACAGCCACCACCCAGACCACCAGCACTGGGACCACCAGCTCTGTGTTTGGCAGCTCCACCCCGGCCCCGTTCACCTTTGGGAGCTCAGGCACCCCAGCTGGCAGTGGGGGCTTTGGGATCGGTGTGGCAACCCCAAGCTCCAGCTCTGGAGCCTTTGCTTTTGGAGCTGGACAGGGTGGGACCACGGGCACATCCACCGCCTTCAGTGGTGGCTTGAGTCAGAACACCCTGGGCACGGCCGGCCAGAACACATCCTTCGTTTTCAACGTGGCAGGCACACCTGAGAGCAAGCCTGTGTTTGGAGGTAAGCTTAGGAACCACATGACTGCTGGGCCCAGCACTATGTCAAGTGCTTGTGCTGAGATGTGAGGATCATGGTTTGAAGCCAGCCAGCCATGAGACTTATTTCCAGTTAACCACTAAAAATGTCAGCAGTGGAACTGCAGCTCAGATAGCAGGGTGCTAGGCTTAATGCAGAAAAGGTTAGGGACAGCACCCAGCCCCTGAGTTCAAGCCCCAGGACTGGCACAAAAAAAAAAAAAAAATTGAAAAGTCAACTAGAAACATGTAATGAGAAGGGAACAACTGGTTTCCATGTGGAGCCTGAGGGTGCTTGTTCTTTGGGTCTATTTGTTTTTTACTATGTTGCTCAGGCTTAGTTTGAAACTGAGCCTTCTGCTTCATTTCCTCTAGTACTGGGATTGTGAGTGTGTGCCACCTGGCTCAGAGCAGATTCGTGGCCAGCTGGTAGAGGGAGGCACGAAAGTGCACCTACGCAGGCAAGAGTGTCAGGAGGTTGAGGGCCTTGAGGCAGGCAGAAGAGAAGAATGAGCCGGGCGCCGGTGGCTCACGCCTATAATCCCAGCTACTCAGGAGGCTGAGATCTGAGAATCGCGGTTCAAAGCCAGCCCGGGCAGGAAAGACCGTGAGACTCCTATCTCCAATAAACCACTAGAAAACTGGAAGTGGCGCTGTAGCTCAAGTGGTAGAGCGCTCCCCTTGAGCTGAAGAGCTGAGGGACAGCGCCCAGGCCCAGAGTTCAAGCCCCATGACCGACAAAAAAAAACAAAAACCAAAAACAGAAGAGAAGAATGTTCCTGGAGGAAAAAAACACTGTAGGATGTCAGACAGAGGAATAATCTTTTTTTTGGGGGGGGGGGGGGGTGGTCCGGTCGTGGGGCCTGAACTCTGGGCCTGGGCGCTGTCCCTCAGCTCTTCAGCTCAAGGCTAGCACTCTACCACTTGAGCCACAGCGCCACTTCTGGCTTTTTTCTTTTTGCTTATGTGGTGCTGAGGAATCGAACCCAGGGCCTCTGGCATGCAAGGCAAGCACTCTACCACTGAGCCACCTTCCCAGCCCCAAGAGGAATAATCTTGTTCTGAGAGCTTCCTCATTGAATAGGGCTGAAGTTCCTGGGGTGTATAAGGGTGGCATGGGGCAAGGAGGGCCATTTATGTTGAGCTCTGCCCAACGAGGAGGAACAGAATGGGAGAAGAGAATGTGTAGACTTGCCGGCTAGAGAACTGATGGTGAATTTCAAGTGTGGCCAGTTGGATTGTGTTTTCCTTGCATCCAGGGGTTGAGATGGCCCTTGAAATCAGGCACTGAACCCCAACTGTGGAGTCTCATGGCAGAAAGGAGGAGCTATGGGAAGAGGTCCAAAGCGAAAGTAGGGCCTGCAGCCCTTATGGGAGCTGGGACAGGGCCTGATGTCACAGGAGTGAAGGAAGGAATGCATTGAGGGCAAGGAGAGAGGTGGTTGTGACTCTGAGGGGTTCATGAGCCATCCACTGATAAAAGAGATGAGGATGGCAAAGGGAAGTAGCCCAGGGGTTCTCAGCAAAGATCCACCACCACAACTAACACTGATCTGAACTTGTGCTGGATTGCAACAATGGTGCCTTTCTGTAATCCCAGCACTCAAAGACTGAGCCCCACCTGGCCACAAAGCAAGATTCTGTCTCAGAAAAATATGAAATTGTTAGGTGTTTAAAGGAGGCAGAAGAGAAATAGTTTGGAAGCCATGTAGGAAGCAGCCCCTAGCTCTCCCCAGAGCAGCTCAGGGTACCTCAGAAAGGCTGCTGTGTGGAAAGGCCCAGCTTCTGGAAAGCCAGGGCCAGAGACCAAGGCTAGAAGGCAACAAGCTGGGTCCTGATGGCAGGCAGGTCTCTTGATCAGGCCCCCCAGGGTTTCAGTTTTTCAAGGGACACAGTGGGTGCCCAAGCTCCTGGCATTAGGGCTGACAGGCTGAGAGTACAGCTGCTACTCAGTTTCTCTGCTGCATACCTCTATCCTCATTGTTGGGTTCCTTTATTCTAGGCACCTCTACTCCCACCTTTGGCCAGAGCACCCTTGCTCCTGGAGTGGGCTCAGCAGGCAGCAGCCTCTCCTTTGGGACCTCCTCAACACCCACCCAAGGCTTCACTGGAGTTGGGCCTTTTGGTAAGCAGCTCCCCTCTGACCAGCAAGGAAAAGGGGTAGAATGGCAGGCTACTGGCACTCTGGACCCTGTGAAGGTCAGGTTCATGGGGTTCAGCCTGTGAGTGGGGCTCTGGTTTGGAGTTTGCATAGACATTGCCAGCACACTTAGGGAAGCAGGTGAAAGGTTTCCCTTCCTGCCTTGGCTGACTGTCCAGAGCTGAGCACCAGCCGTGGGCCTAGTAAGATCTTGTTGCATCTTTACAGGATCGGCGACACCTTCCTTTTCCATCGGTGCGGGATCCAAGACTCCAGGGGCTCGACAGCGACTGCAGGCCCGAAGACAGCATACTCGCAAGAAGTAGCCCTGCCCCTGCCCCGGGACCCTACCCCTACCTACATCTGGACCTCAGCACTTGCTAGGAAGAGCCTCAGAATTCCATAAAGCAAACCCAGCCTGGATCTCTGGCTCCAGCAGCCAGGGAGGAGCCCAAGAGGAGGCTGGCACTGCTGGAGGAGGCGGCAGGGCACTAGCCCAGTACCTTAACCTGAACAGTCCAACAGGTGAGGCTGGTAAACTAAAGGACATGTACATACCGTGCGGTCCCTTCCCTGACTATGACACCGTGTGGTCAGGCAGCTCCCACTCCACTGCTGTGGAATGGGGACAAGGATGACCCCTGGACTTCCCATGTCTTGCTGCTTGGTCCTCCCCGGTTCCGCAAGCCGGGGTTTGGGGGGGGGAAATCCATGAGTCTGGCTTTGCTGCCTCCTGTCCCACCCCCTTGTTTCATCTCTAGTCTCTGCCAGTTTGGCTTCCTAAAAGCTTGGTGGCTCAAGACTGTTAAGCCTATTAGAGCCAGGGGCGAGCCCTGCTCTGGAAGAGCAGCTCCTGGGTAGGCAGGACACCCATCACTACTCCCAGCCCCCATGTCTGCCTCTCTGGGATTGTTTGTTCAAGCTTTGTCTTGTGTTAGTCTGATGCTTGTGCGTTGCTCTTTGAATCGAGTTTGGAGGAAGAACTGAGTTGTATGTATGGCGGCATTTTGGTAGTGCCGGAATTAACTGTCTTCAGCCCCCAGGGCTTACTGAATGTGGAAAGTGGCGCCCTTGACGCCTACAGTGCTGACTTCGTGAATTTCCAATGGGGTTTTCACTTGGGCTGGCAGCTGGGCTTGGGGCCGGGAAGTGAAGACTTCTGTTGCTCCTCTCCTTCCCCAGCCTCCTTCCTTCCCTGAAGAGGTCTGTGGGCCCTGCCCAAACCCCTTCCCCCACCCCCACAGCCTTGCTGCTCTGCCAACCTCTTTGCAAGAAGTATGAATGCGTGTGTCTAAATTAAAAGAAAAAAAAATATTTAAACATTTTTTTAACAAGATAAATTTATTTTTGTATTTAAGCTAAATTGCCTTTTAAATTCCTTCAAGCTTGGTTCACTGAGGTGGTTCAGTATAAATGCTGTCTAGCCGTGTAGTTGGTGTAGTTCTTCTGCCTGGGTGGAGGGCCCAAGCACCTCTGGACACATGGAGATGTAGTTGTGTCATAGACGATGTGCTGTAGCTGTGACAGTCCCCTCCCCTGGTGACCAGGGTTGAATGTTGTATGAAGGCACTGCCCATCTGTGTCCCTCTATCCCATTTGCTGGCAGCTGACTGCTTAGGCTTGGCCACGTGCAACTGAGGAAGGAGCCTGGCCCCCAAGGGCCCAACATCTGTTGGGGAGCGGTTATGAGCTAGACCTGAGGCTCCCCTGCACCTCAGGTCAAGACGGGCTCTTGGGTTCTGGCATTGCCCAGGTATACACACATTGGTCCTGCCAGCACCAAACTAGAGGTGGCTGGGGCTTTCCACTAGAACTCATTCCTGCCAAGTGGGGTTTTTAGTATGAATGTGAGATTTTTCTCCTTGCTATGTCATTAAGAATAAAAACTGTGATCTGTCATAGACTCTGTCCTGACTCTTATTTGTGCCAGAAGCATGACTCCTGGGACAGACACTGTGCAGCCACTGGGGTGGGACTTGGAGCCCCCAGTGCCACAGGGAGGCCTGGCCATAGAGAGGCATTGCCCCACACCTCTATGAGCATGGCAGTAGATTGAGGCCAGGGCCGGAGGCTGCTTTCCGCCGCTTCTTCCTTCTTGCAGCTGAGCTAGGAGTGAGTTGTGCCAGTGCTTCATCCCGTGGAGCTGAGCTAAAAGAACCACCAGGTCAGGCATGCCCAAGCAACCAGCCCCTCCAGGCAGTCCCCAGACCCCTCACCTTGCCACCTCTGCCCGTTCAATGACGGCAACGAAGAAGCCACCAGTAAGTGTGGTCTCTGGGGAAGCCCGGAGGCAGTGCTCAGCCCCTGGAAACGTATTGAGGCCTCGGTGGGGCCAGGAGGGTAGGGTGGGTGCCAGCCTGCAAGGAAAGCCAGCTCAGACCTAGGAAGGGGGCACCAGGACAGTGGGACCCCCATGGCCCAGGAGGGTGGGGGGAACCATCACCTGAAGGCCCCTGAGCTCTCCTGCAGGGCTTCTTGGACTACATCTTCATTCTCCTCTTGGCAGAGGGAGCAGGTAGAATAGACGAGGCGCTGCAAGGCAGGGAACTTTAGTGCGTGGCGCAGGGCGCGCAGCTGGAAGCCCGCTAGGGCGCGCAGGCGCTCTTCGCTGGGTGCCACCGCTGGGTCCTCTAGCTGCCGGCTCAACATCCCTACCAGGAGAATCCTCAATGAAGCCTTCAGGCTGTAGTGGCCCTTGGACTTTCCCACAGAGGCAGGCCAGCAGCCTTGGCCGTCAACCCTCACCTGAGCCACTGCAGGAAGGGTCCAGCAAGATGTACTGGACCTGTGCATACCGTGGGTCAGAAGGGGACACCGCCAGGAAGTCACCCTCTGCTAACTCACAACAGGAGACTCCAGCCCGAGCCAGCAGCGTAGCCATGGTTGCTAGGCGCTTGGCATCCAGATCAAAGGCGAAGATCTTCCTAGGGAAGAGGAGGTTTGGGTGCAGTTGCAGTTCTGACCCCACCATCGGTGTCATCAAGTCACAGAAAGAGCATTCAGGTGGCCTCTCGGGACCCATGTCACACACACACTGACCTGGAGATCTAAGGACCCCTGAGTACCTCCCTTGAAGAATTCTATCTCTTCCTGCAACTTCCAGGCCCAGGCCCACCCCTGCTCTGCGTCTTGACCCCAGCTCACCCCTGGTTTTTCAGGAGAGCTGCTAAGTGACTTGTCTTGTTGCCAGGGGCAGCACAGGCATCCATGACTTGAGAGCCTGGAGGTGGAGCCAGCAGCATGGCTGGGAGGCAGCTGGCCTGGGAGACAGAGCACCATGTTCTTGAACAGAGTGAGCCTGCCCACCCAGCAGCTCCCCCCTCTCTCCCATTCCCTCTAGGGACCCCTGACCTTATCCTGCAGGAGGAGGTGTCCAGCAAGGTACAGCGGGTGATCATGTAAGTCTGTCTGGGCGGGAAACACAAGCAGCTCAGGCAACAAAGGATCCAGAAGAAAGTGCTTTCCCTCAAGGGCCCTTAAGTCCTCCAGGCTGTGGGAAAGAACTGTCAACATTTCTGATCTCGGTGCTGATGGATCCCATAATGGATCCAACGAGTATTTGCAAGAGCCATAACAAAGGATGTAGTGTAGAAACACTCTTGCCTAGCATGCACAGGCTCGGGTCTGAGGTCCAGCAGGTCACAGGCAGCCCAGGCAGAGAAGCTCTCAAGACTCCATCTCCAAATGACTACCAAAAAGTCCAGCTAAAGGCATGGCTCAAGAGGTAGACTACCACATATTCACATGTAAGCAAGCTAAGTGAGTGAAGCTCCTGAGTTTGTAGCCTGGCATCGGTGAAAAAAGGGGGGAGGGGGACAGCCAAACCCAAATCAGTAAAGGCTGGGTTTTAAGTTGTACAATTGAGCATCAAATCCTACCTCCACTATTTACCAAGAGTGCAAGCAAGGGACTTAACTCTGGGCCTTGGTGTTCACCTCTATATAATGGCAGATATGAAGATGAAACAAGTTAATACTCAAAACACTTGGTAAGTCTAAGCCATCACTATTAATGCTTTCTGGAAGAACTGAGCTTCCAGAGTATGGGGGGGGAGGGTGTTGGAGGTGGAGAGAGAAAACATAAAACACTCAGATTACAGCTGCAAGGAGCACTGTCCACTCAAGCAACATGAACCACAGAGAGGCTGACATCCAGATCCATATAAGAGCTGATCTTGACTTCCATTTGCTCTCCAAGCAACATTCCACAGTCAGAGTAACATTTATGCTAAGACAGAGGCAAGGGAAGGATGCAGCTGCAGAAGCAACTTCCCAGAATTTGTCAAGACAAATCAGCCAGAGATGCCAGTGGCTGAAAGGTGTTAATCCTAGCTACTCAGAAGGCTGAGATCTGAGCACTGCAGTTCAAAGCCAGCCTGGGCAGGCAACTCCAGGAGATGCTTATCTCAATCTCAGAAAAAGCCAGAAGTGGCACTGTGGCTCAAGAGGTAGAGCATTAGCCTTCAGCAAAAGCAGCACAGGGATGGCACTCAGGCCCTTAGTACAAGTTCTAGGATAGCACAAAAACAAAAATCAGGAACCATGTAGTTCCAGCACTCAAAGGCTGACAGGAGGATTGCCAAGTTCCAAGCAATGGGCCTCATGGTGAGTTTGTGTCCAGCCGGAGCTAGTGAGATCCTCTATCTCAACAAGACAAAAAGCAAGGTGGAACAAGTCCCAGGTGCGTGGTGCCTTTTAAAGAGGTGGGGAGGGCTGGGAAGGTGGCTCAGTGGTAGAGTGCTTGCCTTGCATGCATGAGGCCCTGGGTTCGATTCCTCAGGCACCACATAAGCAGAAAAAGCCAGAAGTGGCCCTGTGGCTCAAGTGGTAGAGCGCTAGCCTTGAGCTGAAGAGCTCAGGGACAGTGCCCAGGCCCAGAGTTCAGGCCTCATGACTGACCAAAAAAAAAAAAAAAAAAAGGTGGGGAAAGATGTGAGAGTGCCAGAAATGCAGGAAGAAAACCCAGAAAGCGATCTGTCAGCCAGTGTGACCCAGGGATCCCTACTCACCAGTGCCCTGGACATCTCCCAAGCCAAGCAAAAGCAGGCAGGATGCTGAGCTCTCACCTGGAAGCCCGGCCCTGGTAGGAGAAACCTTTTCTCTTGAAATAATCTACTGCATCATCAGTGCAGGTCTTGAGTGTGTTCACCCGCACGTACCGTGGCACCTTGGGAGCTAAGGAGCAACAGCATTTAGGGGGCACGGGTCCTAGATGATGGGCATTGCCAACCCCCCAATTCCCTCGACTCACCTAAGCCAGGCTTGGACTCTGCTTCCAAAAGGTCCTCATTGCGGCTCACATGCCGCTGAACCTTGAGCCGGGCTAATTCAGCCTTGAGCCTAGCCTGGTGCCGGTCCATCAGGGCCTTCCATCGGCCCCCACCGCCTCGGAAGCCCTTCCCCAGCAGCAACTCGTACACCAACACCTGAAGCATTAACGACTTGGGCTCAATAAAGAACCGGCGAACGGTGGTTCTTGCCTGTAATCCCAGCTAATTAGGAGGCTGAGATCTGAGCATCGCGGTTCGTAGCCCAAGTCCGTGTGAGGCTCTTTTCTCCAACCACCAAAAAACCAGAAGTGGAGCTGTGGCTCAAGAGGTAGACTAGCTAGCCTCGAGCAAAAAGAAAAAAGGCTCAGCGCTGAGTTCAAGCCCTTCCCCCCATGCCCCCACACACACCCGCAAAAAAGCCAATACGGAGAATCGGATCTGGGGGCACGAACCAGACAGACCAGACCGCCATCGGCTACAGGTGAGGCCCGCTCCCCGCTCACCTTGGCCAGGTGCGGCCGCAGCTTCTTCTCGGCGCGGAGCAGGCCCGCGCGGGCGATCACGGCGTCCAGCACAGCAGCGAAGCGCTGCGTCTCGCACACCAGCGCGTACAGCGGCTTCACATTCTGCGAGGCCAAGGGGAGACGCGCGACGTGGGCGCCGGGCCCCCAGCATGGCACCGTCGCGCCGTCGCCCCCGGGACCCCGAGACCCGCCCGGGACCTCCGAGATCCCCCGCCCGAGACCCCCCCGCTCCCCGCCTGCGCCCTCCGCGCCCTCCGGGACCCTCGCCAGCCCCGATCCTCCGCCCGCTACCTGGAAGCCGCTGGAGTACACCAGCGCCCGGACAGAGCCCCGGCGCTCCTCCACGCCCGCCAGCACAGAGGCGGCCGCCGCGTACAGCGCCATGCTCCGTGCGTCTTTACGGCTCTGTCGCGAAACCGGCTTTGCGCCCTCCCGCACTTCCGGGGTCAGAGGGCGCGCGTTACGTCGGGACCCGGCCCCCGTCAGCCAACTAGCTTATACAACAAAATCGGCTCCGGTCCGCGGGTTCGAGTCCAGCGCGGCTGCCCCGTGAGCCATTCCCCGCCCCCCCCCCCCCCCCCAGTTAAACAGCACACGTCCTGGCGCGGCGGCTCCTCACTGCAGTCCTCGCTGCTCGGGAGGTGAGGGAAGATCACGTTCATGGCCTGCCCCGGCGAGGAAATTAGATCCCATCGCCACCAGCACTCCTGCCATCCCAGCCACAAGCCGGGCGTGAATAGCAGGGTTAGAAAAATAAAGCGCAAAGGACGGGAGCGTGGCTCGGGAGGTAGCGCACCCTCTTGCAAACCCATGTACTCACCAAAAAGAAAACATGTCACCCTCTGCTGAGAAAGATGGTGTGGCCTTTGGTGCAGACACCAGTGACAGACAGGTTAGGGGTCCCGTGCCCGGTTCTGCTCAATTAGAAGTAGCACTTGGTCCTCAGGTCCAGCTTACCTGGAGGAATCCGAGAACTCCAGTGGGGGTGCCATGATGGGGGTGACCGGGTGAGAGAGATCGGATTCCATCACAGACCAGAGCTGCTTAAGCATTGGGGCTGGGAAGGTGGCTCAGTGGTAGAGCGCTTGCCTTGCATGCCAGAGGCCCTGGGTTCGATTCCTCAGCACCACATAAGCAGAAAAAAAAAAAAGCCGGAAGTGGCGCTGTGGCTCAAGTGGTAGAGCACTAGCCTTGAGCTGAAGAGCTGAGGTACAGCGCCCAGGCCCAGAGTTCAGGCCCCATGACCAGACCCCCAAAAAAACAAAAACAAAAAACAAAAAAACCAAGCACGGGGGCCAGGTGTGGAGGTGCACATCTGTAATCCCAGCTAGATGGAAAGTCAAGGTAGAGGATTGAAGCCTGAGGCCAACTAGGCAAAAGCACAAGACACTTCAAACAAAAGCCAAAAGGAAAAAGGGGATGTAGCTCAAGTAGTGGAGCCTTAAGTTCAAACTGCAATACCACCAAAGAACTAAAAAATACTTAAGTACAGGGCTGGAGATGTGGCTCCTGTAAACAGTTTACCTAGCCTGTGCAAGGCCTTGGGTTCCACCCTCAGCGTGCGCATGTACACACACACACACACACACACACACACAGACTCCAACACTACAATATTAAATAGCAAATTCATATAGCAACTGTCATTTAAGCAAAAGAGAAAGAATCAATGTCAAGTTTATTTTCCTACAGAGTTGAAGTCTCTGTGATAAGGAAGGACAGATGGGAACAGTTTTGGGCTCTGCTGGAAGCTGGAGTGCACAGGGTGCAGTCGGAAGGGCCAGGCCTCAAGGAAACTGTGGCCAGTGGAGGAGGAGCTCCTTCTGTCATACATGACACCGTAGGTCCCAGCAGTACCGGAGTCCCAGTGCTTGGCACCACCAGGCAGCCTATAGCTTGGTGGGCTGTGGGGAAGGGAGGTGGCCAGGCCCAGTAGGTGGGGGCAGCACCAAGGGCAGTGAGTTACTGCCCCTCTCATGCCAACACATGTCCAGGATGGGGTAGAGCTTGCCCTGGAAGTCAGCCTGGAAGGTGTAGAGTGGCCGCAGGTCATCAGGGCGGTCGGCGTTGAAGAAGGTGAGCTCACCTTGCTCGTAATGCAGGTAGACTCCGATGCGGTGTGGGTGGCCTGCCACAGGCAGTGGCACTCTGGGGCAGCCAAAGGCCTCGTACACGCGGCCTTCCTTCAAGCCAATCAGCCACACACCGTGCTCTGGGGACTTGCTCAGCTTGCCCTTGCGGCTGGCCGTGCCCTTAATGATGCCCAGACGCCAGTCACTCTTGCTGCCCACCGCCACCTCCCAGTAGTGGCGGCCGCAGGAGAAGCCCCGACTGGCCAAGACACACGTATTGTAGTCGAAACGCTCAGGCTGGCTGGCACGCCGCTGGGCCAAGAGGCCACACTGTACCACGGTGTCACCCTTGGATAGCTCCAGCAGGGGGTGGGCTGTGGCAGGGTCCAGCCTGAGACACTCCGGGGCTAGAAAGGGCAGTGACCCACATGTGATTAAGCCACACAGAAAACACCAGACCCCACCCTGCCCCAGGAGGGGGACAGAGGGCCCTGAGGTGCTCAAGCAGAGGAGGCATGCCAGTCAAGCTGTGTGACCTAGGGTCTGGAAGGGGCAGACAGGGCTGTCTGCCAGTGGTGGATGGGTGGCTGGTGGATGGCTGATGGATGGATGGATAGGTGGATGGATGATGGATGCTGGGTGCTGGTGGCTTACACCTATAATCCTAGATGCTTAGGAGGCTGAGATGTTAAGATTGAAGTTCAAAGCCAGCCTGAGCAGGAAAGTCCATGAGACTCATCTCCAATTAATCACACACACACACACACACACACACACACACACACACACACACACACACATAGCCAGAAGTGGAGCTGTGGCTCAAATGGTAGGGTGCTAGTTTTGAATAAAAAAGCTCAGATCACACCTGTAATCCTAGCTACTCAGGAAGCTGAGATCTGAGGATCAGGGTTCAAAGCCAGCCTGGGCAGGAATGTCCATGAGACTCTTTTTTTTTTTTGGTCGGTCGTGGGGCTTGAACTCTGGGCCTGGGAGCTGTCCCTCAGCTCTTCAGCTCAAGGCGAGCGCTCTACCACTTGAGCTACAGCGCCACTTCCGGTTTTCTGGTGGTTTTATTGGAGATAGTAGTCTCACAGTCTCTCCTGCCCGGGCTGGCTTTGAACTGAGATCCTCAGATCTCAGCCTCCTGAGTAGCTAGGATTACAGGCGTGAGCCACCAGCGCCCGGCTCCATGAGACTCTTATCTCCAAGTAACCACTAGAAAACCGGAAGTGGTGCTGTGGCTCAAGCGGTAGAGCGCTCGCCTTGAGCTGAAGAGCTGAGGGACAGTGCCCAGGCCCAGAGTTCAAGCCCCATGACCAACAACAACAACAAAAAGAATAAAAAAGCTAAGGTCTGGGAATGTGCAGTAGTATAGTATTAGAGTGTTTGCCTAGCATGCATGAAGCACTGGGTTCAATTCCTCAGTACCACATAAACAGAAAAGGCCAAAGTGGTGCTGTGGCTCAAGTGGTACAGTGCTAGTCTTGAGCAAAAGAAGCTCAGGAATAATGCCTAAACCCTGAGTTCAAGGCCCAGGACTGGCAAAAAAAAAAAAAAGCTTAGGGACAGTGCCCAGGCCCTGAGTTCAAGCTCCAGGACCAGCGCACGCACGCACGCACGCACGCACGCACGCACGCACGCGCACACACACACACACACACAGATGGATGATGGATAGATGGATGATTGGATATTGGATGATGGATGATTGGATGATGGACAGGTGGATAAATGGATGGATGGACACCCCTGAAGGATGTAACACCCTATTAGCTGAGGGACTCTAGTAAAGAGGAGATGCAGGCCAGCCTACCTTCTGTAAGTAGAGGTGCTGATAGAATGACTAGAAGACTGCCTGGTAGGAGGCTTCCTGAGGAAATCCTGACAAAGGCAATTTGTTTTTCTTTTTGCTGTGGAGGATTGAATCCAGAACCTCCTATGTGCTAGGAAATCATTCACTGGACCACTGAGCTACACTTGTGGCCCTACAGGCAGACATCTATTTGGTTTGCTGGCCTCAGCTGCAGGCCTGAGGACAAGTTATTCCTGCTCACCGTGTTTTAGCTAACTAAAGACTAATTTGTTGTTTCCAAAGATGTGGGAAGGAGTTCCTCCCTCCCCCCCACCCCCGCAGCTCAAGCCCCTCTGGCTCTCCTGCCCTTCACTCTGATCTGGCTTTGGCCTTGGCAGATGAGATCAAGCCACCAGCTGCCCACCCTCATGGACAAACAGCATACTAGAATACAGGAACAAATGAAAGAGGTCTGGGCTCTTTTTCAGAGGGCAAGAAACTATAACACTCGTGCATGTATGCAAACTGCAGCCCAGCCAGCTGGGCTTCTTCCTCACAGCGGAGATGGTAGCTCAAAGCTCCTCTTTTCACGCCTCATCACAGGCTGAACAGAGCTGCGCATGCTCACTGTGACCCCATGTTCTCTGGAACCTAAAAGCCCTCTGGTGCCACAGCTGCTGGCCCTGGCTGCAGCCCTCAGGAAGGGGGGTGGGGCTCACCTGGCAGAACTTTCCTGAACAGTCTTTTCCACACAGTCAGCTTGATATCCGCCTGGTGGAGGGCTGGCTTGAAGGAGATGGGGCTGAATGCGCCTTCCCAGGGCCTGGCCTGCTGGAGTTCTGCTCTGCATGCAGTGAACATCGAGAAGAGTGCACCTTCCCTCAGTGGGAAGCCACTGAGGGAAGCCACCCATGGCTTGAGCTGCATGGCCTGGATGTCCCTCCTGGCCCTGTTTCCCTCCTACAAAGCCACCCACCATTGTGGTGGTATTCAGATTAACTTCATGATATCACCTGGGATCTTACTGCAAATGCAGATTCCTGGGCCCCCACCCTAGATCTACTAAACTGATTAATGGGCAAGGCGGGTAATCTGTGTCATGCCATCCTCCAGCTGGGTCTTAGGTACATTGAAGTCCAGTCCCTGTCAAGCCACAGCTGAAGTGGATTCTCTGCCATTTTCCCTATTTCCCCCCCCCCCTTTTTTTTAGCAGTATTGACCAGCAGGCCTTTTACCACTAGAGCCCCTACTCCAGCTCTTTTGCTTTAGGTTTTTTTGTTTGTTTGTTTTTTGGCTAGTCATAGAGCCAGAACTCTGGGCCCGGGTACTGTCCCTCAGCTCTGCAGCTCAAGGCTAGCGCTCTACCACTTGAGCCACAGCATTACTTCCGGCTTTTTCTGCTTACGTGGTGCTGAGGAATCGAACCCAGGGCCTCATGCATGAAAGGCAAGCCCTCTACCACTGAGCCACCTTCCCAGTCCCTTGCTTTAGTTTTTGTTTCAGATATGGCTTCACACTTTAGTCCAGAGAGGA